TCTTTGCAGTTGCAAGAGCTAGAGGCTTGACTGCAGTTTCAAAGTATGGGAAGTTTAAATAGACATGATGCCATAGCTTGTCTATGGTCCAAAGCAATAGCTGAAACCTCCTTTGTCTTCACTGGGGTGTGTTGCTCCAGAAGTAAAGACTAGGAACATCTTATTGCTGACGATTGCAATTTGTAAATAGTGTCTTTACTGCTTTTAGAACCTTTCCATGTCTAGGGATGTGTCAAATATTTTGTGCGCTTGTAAGCATTTGCTACTTCCGCTAGGTAACATCTGATGTAAAGAAATGATGGTTCAATTCCAAATTTTGCTGTGCCCTGAAAAGTAGGACAGTGTAAATAAAACAACTGAGATAAACAAGGGCGATGCTCTGGTAGCTGTTAGCAGAATATGAAAGCAAACAGTGGGCATATACTTATTGAATTACGCTGAAGCTCCAGCTGAATCTTGGCTGCTGTGGCGTGCAGGAAAATTTAGGTCAGGGTTGCAGTCAAACAGGCTTTGCTTGTAATTTGCAAACACATCGCAAAGGTTAAGCAGTGCTCTCAAGCTATTTTCTTATCCCCGAAGGAATAAATTGGGAGGGTCCCCACCTGAACTTAGTGGGTATTCTTACAGAACTCTACACCATTTGTCTTCTGGATAGCAGAAGTGAAGGTGGCAGTGCAGCTCAGACTTAGAAGTGGGTTGGAGGATTGCAGCTGGAAGAACAGAGCTTAAGGGTGTGAGTTGACACACACTAGTAATATTTAATGCTGTTTTTTTTTTTGAAATCGTGAATTCATAAATTCTATGTGAGCAAAATGTGCAGTAATGGACTTGGAAGGTACGGTTCAGAATGCTGTGTTATCAGTGCTAGCAGTACTGCCAGTGTTAAGCTACGCAACAGGTACTGGAGATCACAATAAAAATGTCCCAAGCAGATCAGTGCTTTTGCCTGATAGTTTAAGGTGCACATCTCTCTTACTTTGCCAGATTTCTACTAGCATATAAAATTTCTCTCCTTTGTAATACACTTTTTATTGGGCCTTAAAGCTGATGGTTTTCTGGTCCTTTTGAAAGGTAAATATAGCCACCATTTAGAGGCAGTCCTAGATGGTTTTAGCATCCCAAGAATCACTGAATGGTCTGTTTCTCCAGTGCTGTATGTTCTTCTATTTTAACACAGACTAGTATTAGACATAATTGCGCCATTTAAATTATCCACGGTGAGGTTAATACTTGATACCCTGAAGCTGAGTACGTATTAACTTCTGTATACTGCATAAATCAATAGCTGAGATAAATGTTTCACGGAGTGGTGAGTGCAGAAAGAGATTTATATAAAAGCTAAACTCATTCATTGTGGTTGTGACTAGCATCCTTCTATGGAGTAGTCTGAATTCACATCTTGATGTTCTCTGCACAGATAAAGACAGACACGGTCCTTGTGATGTGTAGGAAGAAGCGGGAGGAAAAATGGGACTGTCTCACTCAAGTGGAAAAAGAAAGCAAAGAGAAAGAGTAAGTGCCTTTTTCCCCCTCCTTCATCTCACCTGCCGTTTCTTGTTTTACTGAAATTGTATTAGGACTGCCAAGAGAGCAGATGTGTACTCTGTGTGTGCAATTTAACCATAAGAATTGCTTGGCTCGGAGACAGGCCTTTAAGAATTGTTAGGCTGGGGTTCTTTTGGTACTAATGTGACTGGAAGCAGAAGAAATACACTTCAAGCTGCTAAACTTGCCAGTCTTCTACTGTGTTATTGCTAATGAAGGCTGCATCATAGGAAATAACATAGATAGGACCCTGCACTCGGAGTGTTACAGTTAATTAATCGGTTAAGGATTCATTTATATCTTCCAGGTGCATTCCTTGCCAGCAGTGCTCTAATCAGGTTTACTTTTCTTAGGCTAGGTGTGTGCATGTATACCTTCTGTAGAAATGCATACGTTTTTCCTGCTGCTATGCTGGTTGAAGTAATTACTGTTTGGTCACATCTGTGTGTGAAGTACTCGCACAAAAGTCGCAGCATCCTTTCGGCAAAAATAGGTGTTTAGTGATTTTTGGATCGTTAGATAAACTGTCAGGCTGTTTTAGATCTCCCCGCTTAAAGTGGTAGAGAGCAATCGTACAAGCCGCATAGAGACTGGCTATGAAAAGGTGGTAAATGACAGTAGGAAGCAGCGAACATACCTGGTAACAGGAGTTTGCATCCAGAAGAGAATGTGTACACCTACACTGAAGCCTGGAAAAACTCACTTTTCTATGGCTCCGTCCTGCAACTTTCTCAAGAGGAAAAGAGAAGCAGCCTACCAACAGGTATTTATTTTGCATATGCTTGTAGGATGATTTGCCAAAACCGATCAATCCTACATAACCAGAGCTGAATCTAGAGCAAAACTACCTTCTCCTCTCAAACCCTGTCTTTGGAGATTAGGAGAAAGTGACTTGACTACTAACGTATGTTGCTGGAAGGATTGGGGTTATTTGGTTAAACCTGTATCTTGTGCAAAGAAGTACTCTGCACTGCCTAGCTCAGTCATAATTAATAGTGCATCCTCATGCAAAATGTTGAGGATTTACAGTATGGCAGATTGGAGTCAATTCAGAAATACATCTTCCAGATTCGGGGTGCTCAGCTCTTGGAGACTGACTGTTAGCTCCATACTTGGAGAACTTGCTCCCTCTGGTGATCTGTTCAGAGATCTGCATGCTTTTCAGGTAGCCTTCAGCTACGCTAGTAGCACTTAGGAGAATCAGAAAACGGGATACAGAGGCAATTTTGACAAAAAGGGCAATATACAGCATTCTGGTAACGTGGAACATGTTTTACCCAGATGCTTATGATGTGATTATCCACCACGTGGGTGATGTGGCGTTTGTCAGGTGGCTTTGCAAGCTGAGAAAATCACTTTGAAAAGCAAGTTGTTAAAATCAGTGACTTGACCTGTAGAGATCATCTAAAAAAATGTGGAGCAGAAAATGTCTTTTGGGTTGCAAATATTCTGATATGGTCACTTCAAGAGGCTCAGAGTGTGGTCAGTTTTTTTTTGTTCTTAAACTCACATAACAGCAGAGACAGAGGCTGGCACTCTCTAGATCGGTTATATCCAGCTTCTGCTTCCTAAGATTAATCTTGGGTAGTGTTGCAAGGATCATGTGTACCGCAAAATGCTTCCTTTCTCCCTCGATGGGACAGCTGCCAATACATTACTCTTCATAGACTTGCATTTAGACTAAACGTACCCTTTAGGTTTTTCCCCTACTTGGAAGCCGAGTCAGGTGTGACTAAAGATTTCCATAGTCTAAAGACCTTACCAAAACAAAATTCTTACTGTTACCAGGGTATTTCTAAACGAATCCTAGTGTTTAAATTTTTGCAGAGAATTGTTAGATATGCTAGGCCTGCTCATGTTCATCTGTCTTGCAGGAAGGCTGCCTACGACACCTCAGACCCCAGTGAAGGGCTTATGAACCTTTTGAAAAAGATGTATGCAGAAGGGGATGATGAAATGAAGCGCACCATCAACAAGGCTTGGGTTGAAAGCAGAGAAAAACAGTCCAAAGGGGACATACCCATGGATATTTGAAAGCACTCTAAGGGCCGCCTTAATACCGATCTTCCACGTGAGACTTCCTGTGCTGCAAAAATCATTGTTTACACAACCTTCTTCCAAGCAAAGACAGTCATTTTCCATTTCAGGTTGGAGAAAATATTTAAATAAAATAGCCTATAAAGCATTTCCTTCAGTCAAGTGGTTCACCGTTTCCTGAAGAGTGGAACATAGGTATATCCTCACCCCCTCCTTCAAAAAAACATGTAAGATGAGTAGAGACTTTTGTGAAACTGAGAAAGAATATAAAAGAAAAGGAATCCTAAACTGCGAAGGGCCAAGGCCCCTTTGTTGCAAGTGACAGCTGTCCCCATCTAGGGCTAATGGATTATGTCAGTCTACAGGGGCATGTGTTTTATTATGTGTGGGATAGCACGTTGAACTGTAAGGTAAGACATGTAACAAAGGGAGGAGAAATGCTGAAGAAAGCAGAACTGCTATCTCGGGACAGCGCACTTGCTAGCTGAGCAGAAAGAAACGTTATGGTCTTTATGCTGTGGTATTAAAACTTATTACTCGGAAATGAATTAGTGACTGTTTAACCCCTTATGGCTTTTGAAAATGAAAACACTCTTGAACCCCTGTGCTAACTGTGACCTCCTTGGGGTGTCTTTGAGGTGGTGGCAGTCACAGGAGAGCACCGAGCTGCTGATATGGGATACTGAGTTCTCCCTGGCTCTAGCAGTATATAAGGAAAAGAGATGTGCTCCGTTAAAACCCTTGAAAATTTGATAGGAGATAAGGTAATAGGGTAAGAAGTATGCTGAGGTAACTTATACTCCATAATTTGACTGATTTGGGGGTGGCGGGTTACTGTCAAATTGCTGCCTCTGCAGCTCCCGTCTGACAGTTTTACTTGGCCTGTTTGTTGCAGCCTCTGAACCCTACTGGTGGGCACAGAGTAGCTGTTTCCCCTTGAGTGCCCTGCATCGAGGGATAGCACAGGGCAAACAAGCTTAGGCAGCAGGCTTCTTTTTGGTTTCCTTCCTCCCTGTTTCTTTATCACTTCTCTCCCAAGAACAGATTTATTTGATGTTATAGCTGCTGAATTAGGCAAGCCATTACTCTCCTCTTGTGGCCTGGACTAGGACACGTTTGCTACCTCGTTCCTAAAACGATGGACAAAGGTATGCGCTACAAGCAGGAGGGGAATATTAGCACACTTCTAAGAGGTTCTTTATCCACTCTTTGCCGGCTTGTTAATACTGACATGTTTGCATTGCATAAGTTTGCACTGCAAGAGTACCTAAACTTGAGGCCATATCTTACTTTCCATTCATGCTCATCCTTGTTCATAGTAGAATATTTTTTTTTGCCCACGTGTGCAATTTTATTTATGCTTTTATCCAAATCACCATGGTGAACTTAACTGTGTTGTGCCAAACAAGCTGCTTGAATGAGCCTGGTGCTGTATGTCTTTATTTTTAATGTTGTCCTTATTACAAACCTCAGCTTAGCTCTGCAACAATCAGGTGGTGATTGTCTCAAAATAAACCTGCCTCTAACACAGACTGGCTTAGTGCAGTTATGCTTTTTCCCATCAGTTAGCTGTTACCAATCACAATCCAGTAAGTGAATTTTATGAGCGAGCATGGCTTCTCTTCCTCCCCGTTATTCGTTTTATGCTTATACTGGACTCCTAGACAGGACAGCCATGCTCTAATTACTTGAGCACACAAACTGAGCCCATTGGGGGGTTTTGCCTTGAACATAGGTCCGTGTGATGTTCTACCACATAGCTCTCTGTATCCCAGACATTTGAGCATGGTCAGCAAAATGGCGGAAAACAATTCTGCTAAGCCTCCAACGCCGCTTCACCCCTCGAGGCCGGGATGTCAAGACACACCTATTTCGGATCCTCACAGGGCAGCTGTCCCGGGGCAAGGCAGCAATCTCTTTATCAGCCACTTCCTAAAACAGAAGATCACAGCATAGAGTTTAAGTATGTTCCCCAGGATTTTGAGGGGGTGCATTTCCAGACCTCAAAACCTAGCTGTAGAACAGATGTTACCACAAGCTTCCCTTACTATGCGAGTATCCTTCGCTGTTTGATAAGGAAGGTGTTCATGCCTTCCTCACTTCATCCCTTCTTTTTGGGCATCCCCACAGCGGATGCGAAACGCTCTACTTGGACACCCAAAATTTGACCTTACTACGCATGGAACAATCGTAGGCCAATAACTGTTCGTTCAAATCTGCTTGGCTTTGCCTGTGTTGCAGGGTGGGCTAGCCCTTTCCGATGAGCTGAACTTAGTTCCGTGTTAATTCCCTGTTAACTATCTTCCCAGGTAATATGGTTTGATGCCAGTAAAAGGGATTGTATATAGCTCCCTTCGGAAGGAGCTATACGGAGTGGAGAACAAGACAAAATATCTCTCATCTAATGAGAAGGCTTAAGAATAGCATCCCTATATACATGTTTTCAGGAAACACCAGGTAGCAGCAATTGGAATTTCAGAAGAGTAAGCTCACCGAGAGCAAAGAAAATGCAGACTTAAGGAAGACACTTGAGTTTAGGTAAGTGTCCTGAACAGCTGCAGTCTTAATATGCTCTACTCTAAAGGAGGGAAGGCCTCTAAAGATCCTGAGTTCAGTCCCATTAGGAAGTCACAGAAAGACAGCTGGAGGTAAAAGTAAGGTCTGATGCTGTATTACACAAACTCCCGTTATGCTGCATGAAAAAGCGCTGAACAATCGTGTTTCAACACTTCCAATGAATTTTAAACAAAAGTGCTGGAAAGCAATAACGTAAGGGTATCTTTGAAAGGCGTTCTCACCTTCAGAGAATACCAGATCAAGACAGCCCCCACGTGACTTTCAACTAACAAGGGCAGTAGGACTAGTTGTCTTAAGACCATATTTCAATTATTGTTTTTGTGCTGTTACACATCTTATTTCTGTATATACCTGCATATATAGCCTATCTAGTAGAGCCACACAGTTGCAGAACTTTTTTTAGCCTGTATGACTGCTCAGATTTTATTAGGAAAGCAGCCTATGCTGTCAGGAAAGATCTGTAGCCTAAGTATCCTTTAACACTTTAAATTCGGTGTCCAAACAAGATTTTATAGGGGAGGAAAAAGTTATTTTCCTTGCGGCTTTTCCTTCGTTCGAACTGCTGCAACTCTGACTTGAAAAGTTGACAAAAACAGCTGAGGAATAGCCGAAGAAGTAGCGGCAATGCCTTTTTTCCCATTAAGGACATCCAGCACAATTTATTTCCCAAGTGAATGGTAAAGTCGGGGTGTAAAAGCAGATTCATACTGTCTCTCTCCCTGGATGCTGAAGGGTGAAAGGATCTCCCCACAACCAGGCATGGTCAGTCCTAATACACTCAGGAATATTAGGAGAATACTCCTGACACTGGCAACTGTTCCTGACGCTTACTGAGGAAGGCTGAGAGCAGGGCAGCGAACGTGAGCTCCAACTCCCGCATCTGATACAGCTCTGACGCGCCTGTAGCTCAGGCGAGAAGTTAAATATTTCAAATTTGAGTTAAGCGGTTGTGGCAGCATCGGGCTTCCAGGTTCTTAAATAAATACGAGCGGGGGGAGGAGGAAAAAAAAAAATAAAAATCTTTCAGCCTGTTCAGGAAACGGTACGAGTGGCGCTAAACCCCAGGCACCCTGAGGGCGAGCGGCCCCGCTC